TAAAATGCTTATATCTTTGTAGTGGTCTATTTGAAGGCACTGAATTCCATGCAGTGGTCTACAGAGATGTCTGACGCACAACTGCGTCGCTTGGTCTGTGGATATGATGATTGGTGACGTCATATAATAGTTGGACAAACTGGTCTTTACTTTTCTGCATCACTGTATGTATGTATGCAGTTTGTATGCTGCATTATCCTATGTAGCTTTTATATTTGTTCAGTTATAAACTGTTCTTGAATAATATGTTTATTTCTTTACTTACTTTCACCTTAAAACACAAAAAAATGAACTGTCGCATATATGCGACGTTTAGTCTATTTCAAGAAAACTATGATAATTTTCACTATCTTCTTCGCTGTAGACCGGGTGTCGCAAATATGCGACATTACAAAAGGTTATAAAAAATACAAATAAAAAAGAATAATTTATTTGCAAACACGATTGTAGCGTATTACAATGTAAATGATCACTGTTTTACAGGTTTTCGCCCGTGGTCTGTGTGTACTGTTATCCAAGTGACAGTCGGTCTATGTGTAAGATTCAAATGTATACCTCGGTCTGTGGCAATGACCGCGGAGTCGCATATATGCGACGCTCAGCGAACGTGTTAAAGACAAGTATAGCCCTCACTTCCATCAGAGTATTGGAGCTGCAGAGGCTGCAGTGAAGATAGCAAACTGCATCCTAAAGAAAAATAAAGAAGACCCTTACCTGGCACTCTTATCATACCGTAATACTCCAATATCAAATGGGTATAGCCCTGCACAACTACTAATGGGACAACATTTACGAGATAACCTACCAGCAGTTTTGCCAGGACTCTTGACAGAAAAGCCAGACTTGAGTGACTTGAAACAAAAGGAGAGGATCTACAGGGAAAAGTACAAGAGAAATTATGACTCCAAATCTCTTGGAAGTTTGAAATCTGGAGACAGTGTTTGGATATCTGACTTGGGAAAACCTGGAACGGTTGTAAAAACAGCAACTTAGCCACGATCATATATCGTCAGGACTGATACAAGAGACCTAAGAAGAAACCGTTTCCATCTTCTACCATTTCCCAATGACTTGAAAAGTACACCATCACGAGACAATGTGACAGAAGAAAATTCAACAAGTGTCTGTACCAGAAGTCCAAAACCACGAGAGGACAACTCAAGTTACAAGACTAGACACGGGCGTCAAGTACATCCTCCAAGGAGACTCGATCTTTAAGGAGGGGGATGTTTCAAGACTGCAAATAAAACATGTGTTTTATTTAGGATATTATATTATGATCAGAGGTAAACAAATATTGTTATTAGAGTTATAGACTTCTTACAAAAGACATGTTCAAATAAAATGTTATCAATTTAGTTCATTTTAAATTATTATTATCATGAAAACTATAGACGGTCGTGATACATCAATACAATTTATTTTTATTGATTTCTAGAAATAAGGAATTCAATAATGAATTTGTGAGGGATTTTTATCGCTAAAGATAACTCAATAAGCAAAAAAGTTGTTAAAAGTTGTCGAAAGCTGTATACAAATTGTTGTATACAAATTGTTGTATACAAATTTTAAAACATTTTGATTTAAACTTAATATTACAACAATTTTGATATAAGATTGAAACAATTTTAAAATTGTTTAACAATCAGTTTTTTGAAGTTTAAAAAAATTAGTTTTAATACAAGCTGTAAACTGTTTTACAACAATTTTAAAATTGTTTAGCAATCAGTTTTTGGCAGTTTAAAAGATAAGTTTTAATACAAGTTATAACTGTTTTACAACAATTTTAAAATTACATATTTTTAAATTATATTGAGTTTTAGGTACCGGTACCTCAGCTAACCTCTATATGACCTAAAACTAGAGTTTTTCCTTTTTTTTAAAAACAACATTTTTATTACTGTTTATTTCACCAGTTTACATTGGTATTTTGTATAATCCATAATGTTCATACATGTGATACATTTTAGAGATATTTTGCATTTTATTTACCTGTATTGATGTATATTGATTTATATTTACATCTAACATATTTAAAAAAATATTCTCTATTGATATCAATGAACGATTTGTTTGCTCTTAATGATCTATATTGATACCATTATATGTTTATAGATGTCTAGTGATATGCATTGACTAAGTTTTCAGTGATGTCTATTTGTAATGATATCCATGAGCATCTATTGATTTATATTGATGTCTTCCACTGATAGCACGCGTCACGCATCAATCAACCCATGGGAAATGTTTGTGACTCTTACGGGTTGTATTCGTTTTTTATGTTTGTGTTCGTGTCCGTATTCGTATTTGTGTCCTCGTAGTTTAAATGTGCGTATGAATGACAACTTTTGACCTCCTTTGACACCTGAAGAAAGCCCCCTGAGGGCTGAAACGCTGAAACTGCAGTAGTGTAATACTACACTGGAAGGATCACATGACAGTTAAGGTATTTAAACTATTTAAAAAAAATGAATTTTCTGAAATTTCTTTTCTTTTTTTTTGTTAGTGCTAAAGCTGTTTAGCTGCTAACTCATGCTTTCCAATTTTCATTTTATTTATATAAATATCATCAAATTTACTTATTGTTTAATGTAAAACAGATTGTAAATAAAACTTTGTTACAATAACAAAAACTAAATAACCTGTTGCTCGAAATCGAGCAAAACTGCAACTGGTAATAAAAAAATAAACAACTAAAAACATAAACAGCAAGACCTCAATCAAAGAGTAATTCTAAAGTCTATGACTGATGACTTTTGTCTGGTGGTACTCTGTTTTCAGCTTTAAAAATAGCGGCAAAATTTATACAGGTCGCATCATTGTAGCGAGGAAAGCCAATTATTTTGTCTCTTATTATGTACATAAGAATCTCCCTTAACTCATCGGAGCTCTCGTCCCTACACATTTCTGCCACAGTTTTAAAAGATTGGGCAAATGGGTTGGCAATGTGACCCTATTTCCCACATATTTTATCATTGAATCTTTTCCTTTCAAGTGTCATGGATCTTGAAATTGTAGATTCCCTAGGTATGATCCTCTCATCTAAATGAGCTTCAGAGCTGACCATGGCAAAGGCGGAATTGAATTGACAAATTTTATCCTAATAATTTCTATATCCAAGCCTCACAGCCCTGATTTCAGATTGGGAGTTTCCAATAAGTTCCTGAAAGTATGGTGAATTCCGCAGATGAGGTAAATGGTTCTCTCATTTATGGCTACAAAGAGTAATAATTGAACTGTATCGGCCAGACTTTTTTTGCTTAAAATGTAAGCCACCACAATGTAAACATTTAAAGTTCATTTGTCAAGGTTAGACGTATCCCACACGATGGTTGCCACTCTGTAAATCTTCAAATGATACATTGGGAGATTGATGCAAGCGGCCACGTTCGCGTTTCCTCCAGCCACTCACAGCCTTCGTCTTACTGGTAGCATATTATTTTAAATTTAGATGAATTACGAAAGTTAACAAAACAACAGAAAACACTACAACAGAATTGTTATACACCTTGTAAGTTACATGATATTGTGATGTAACTGCACTGGAAATAATCACTTTCAAACATTCATTTCATCACACCAAACTGTAACCAAAACAACACGATAATTCAGTAAAATATGATGTAAGGTAAATACATTCAACTATTTACAAACAATTTGTTGTCAAGTCTTGATAGGAAACTCTTTATTTAAGAAACAGATATAGTTAACAGATGTTTAGATAAAAATATAGAATTCCGGCTTTCCTCTGGAATAAATAAGTCCTGCAGTCTATGGTCAAACTTAAAAACTAAAAAGAATTAAATATTTATTCTTAAACACTTTGTTGTCTAGTCTCTTCATTATGAACCAGACTTAGTTAACAGATTGAAACAAAATATAAATTCCAGCTTTGCTCTGGAAGTTTTAAGTCCCGCAGTCTGTGGTTAACCTTAAAAACTATTTCAAACTACGTCCATATGTTATTTGTAAACAAAGGGAAATGAGTTTAATCAAATGTCAACAGATGGCGCCACCTTCCAAACTTTAGCCCTTAACTGTACTTAAGTGATGCCATTTCTTAATATTCTGAGACGTATTTGCACATCTACATGAAAATACCTTTAATTTGATACCTCAAACGTTAAAATCCATCAAGCGGTTATCGAGCTACGACTGTGAAAAGAATACTGCTTGCGTATTAATATATAGATAACAGTTTGCTACAAACATTAACTGACTTGGTTGAAATGAAATATTTAGGCTACTATTTGAATTTGGGTTGGCGTAAATATTACAATGGAAAAAAGCGAGAGAGCCTGGATAATTTGATATACTAAAAAGAAAACTGAATTAATACTGTGCTGCATTTTTTAGTTATCATTGAAAGAGCCAATTTGCAAACTATGGAAACATAGGAAAGTCATAGAACACCACCAAGGAGAAGAAATAGAAATAATGATTTTTTTTATTTAGAAAATTGTTATTATGGACAACCTAATGCGGCATGAGCAAGGCCATTTGTAGAAAACACTAATAAACAAGATCAGCTTTTGAAAATTGATAAACTATTTACAAGAAATGTAGATTATATCAATCTGTTATGTACATCTTGAGTATTTCTATAACCTTTTGAGTTGAATCTGTTAAAGTCATCAGAAATTATGACCGTTATTCGTTTTAAAATAACACCTGTAATACTAAGCAATTGCTCGAATTCAAGCAACAGAGGATTGATAAGTCTATGCCCTGTCGGATATATATTTATTTAAGTCCCACCTTTACATTCTAGAACACTAGGTTTGTAGCTGTTTTACAGGTAGGACGCCCGGAACTGTTTTACACATTACTTGAGGCTAGTCCTAGAGGGTTGCAGCATTATCACATGGATCAAATCCATTGGTGATTGGTGGGATTTGAACCCAGTACCTCGGGCACCTGTGACCTATGTGACCACTACCAGCTTGCTGCCCACCCAGAGGATATTGTAACTAATGGATTGGGAGAAAGAAGACCATGACTTAAAATATGTAATAATAAATGTTTAATTTATCATTAAAAAAAGTTAATTTGTATAAAGTCTATGTTTGTCTGTTATAGTAGAGTAGTTAAAATATGTTATGTACACAAACAATTGATGGACTAAGTTTATCTAGAGTATACAATTCATAGAATTGTACAATGTTAATCATAATAGTTTTATTAATCGAATATGATCTATATAATATTCACATTGGCTTTGATATTTTTAATGTAACTTACATCAAACATTACACATTGACACAGCCACATGTTAAATATTAACACACCTTTTGCCCTTGGCCATGACTTACCAGAAAGTATGTACAATATTGATTTGTTAGGTAAATAAATTAAAATTTGCTTGTCTAACACACTAGTAAAACTAGCAAATATACAAATACAGTAACCTAATATTCGTAATTACTTATTTCAAATTCCACAAATAATTAATTCACAATCTCTTACCTACAAACATCACACTTTGTAACACTCTAAATTATGATTCAATAAAAAATAAAAAAACTAGCTTAATGAGACGGCTAATGAGACCATGGTTGAAAAAGGTAGTCTAATACTGTAAATAATCTACTTTTAAACAAAATGAGATCTAATGATATACTGAAAATGTCACTACAATATTTGGGTAACTATATGTTAGTATTTTGTGTAGCATTCTACTTATTAGAATTTTATTAGGAGAATATCTTTCTACCTTCATCTTGAAACCAACAACTTTCATGTTGTGAGTTTAGTTTTACAGTAATGTCAATAACAAGAGCAGTTTAAGATATATTTCAACTTTTGATGGTTTGAGGAATCTAAGATGCAGCAAAAATAAAAGCAGTGGATTAAAAATTTAGAACTTTGTAAACTAAAGATCAGACAAAAATAACAAAAGTATATTCTAAAAAAAAGTTATATTTTACTTGCACTAAAAGGCACAAAGTAGAGCATTTGAATTAGCATTTGTACCAACAACCTGTTTGTGCAGTAACCAATTATATAAGTATTACATATATGAAATGTTTTTCTTCTTTGGATGTCTACAAAGTACTTCTTATTATTCCATGTCAAATCCAAAAGTCTATCTATGTCAATCAACAACCTCTAAGGTCCATACTGTTGTTTGGAATGTTCCATCAGTTTACCATTCATGCCTTGGCTATTTTGCCACTGAAATAGTATACTATTTCATAACAAGAGTAGAAAGTAAGTCATAACATATTTAAGACCATGTGTTTAAAGCTCGAGATTTGACTCGTATTTTGAATGTTACTTTTTGACACACCACAAAGACTATTCATTTTAGCGAATTTCCCTATAGGGCTATTACTGTAGGTGGCATGGTAAGACCTAGACCCGGGACCGATTTACTTTTTTATTATGATGTCCCCAGAGGCCAAAAACACCATTCGTTAAAATTTATATATATATATGTGTCCGTGAACGCGATAACTTGAGTAATATTTGTCCGATTTTGATGAAATTTGGTTTAAAGGTGTAAAGCAGGATAAACTTGAATGCGAACCAGCATGATCGGACTATGGGAACGGGGGTTTATGGGGGGTTTTATGGGGTAAAAATAGGGTTTTCCCATTTTTGACCCTAAAAACACAAAATTACACAATTACTTTCCAAACCATTATGTAGAGCTTAAAGAAACAAATAATTCAGTATGTTGAAGGGTTATTAAGCGCCTAAGGGTTACGGAGAAAATTCAAAAAAATTGTAATTTTAAAATTCCCATGTTATTTTTATGGAGAATAAGTCAACTGTTGTAGTTTGCTTATTCATGAACATATTTTGATCAAATTTGGAAAATACGTTAATTTCTTACTAAACTACAGTACCTATTAACATTTTACATTAAAAACACTTTTTTACCCTCCCTGTTGCAGCAAACCTAAGTACTCGTTAAGCTAATTCTATTTAAAGAGGGAATAAATGTGATATATTTAAGGAAATATTTTAGTGTTACAAATCCAATGAGGCACATGGAAATTTGCTAAGTCTGCAGGTTTGCTGCGGCGGGGGTATTTAAATTTAAATAGGTACACATTTTAATATTTCTTCATTACATTTATAAAATTTGTTAAGTTAGGCTAGTCATTCTATTTTAAGTTGAAATTTACACATATTGTAAATTTGCAAACTAAAATCATTGATGAAACATTAACAAATGTTGTTTATATCAGCATATTTCATTTTTAAAATTTTTTCGTCCAATGCACATTATTCACAGAATTTTGAACAAAAAATACAAACAAGAAAATAACAATAATAAATACCATTGCGGATTCTCTAAATTTATTGTAAGTTATTAAATTTAGATGCAGTTAGATGGGCCTTTCCAGTAACAGGAAGGACCTTATACAAACATAAGGCAAAATTGATTTACAAGAGCTCATAAATATTTCATAGACATCACTTAAGATTGATTTTTATTTCAGTTATACAGCAATCAAATGTTTCAATATCTATATTCATTAAGCTAATTGGCTTTATTATAAAGTTGTTAACAAATAAAATATGCAATGAATGGAAAATCCCTAATGCTGTGACTTATTGTAGTTATCTGTTTGTTCAATTCAAACATACCATAATGCACAGCATCAGAATTGTGAGTAAAACCTAGTTTTAGCTAGGCTAATTTACCACAACAAAATTAATTGTAGGCTTATTATAACCTTTTTTTTCAACCTTGCTATGCAAAAAAACTAATAGAATATTGATAACACAGGTCATGACCATGACTGAAAGCATAAAAGTTTATATTTGAAACATTTGAACATTTGGAACAGGCATAGTTGACTGTTAAAGCAATCTTTATGTAAAATAAATGTAGTTGGCAGTAACAAACCAAGGCTAATGCAGTTTAACTTAACTAAATAACCAAACATTATGTAATTTTTTCTTATGAAATATTAGAATTAAAATTTAAGTACTGGCAGCAATTGTCAAATAAAATACTATTATTTCTTATACCACTGTCCTATTTATAAAATCACGTTTATAAATTAGTCATAAATGAGCAAAAAAATCACAGCACGTGAAGTGTTTTACCCAACTCTGGAATCTGAAGAAATCATCTAGATTCAATTGTTGACTGGGGTTTAAATTAATATTGTAATCAGTTTGTTTGATTTAGTATGGAAAATATTCTGAATTTTTGAATTACGAACATCATTATTTAGTTTACTGCATTAAATAAACACACAAGGTTGTGAAGGCATGGGCAAACAGCAAGTGTTAGATAAACAAAAATAAATCATAAAGGATTCAGAATCAAATTCAAGATTATTGGATTTGACCATCACTACAACACATCATTTAACAAACTATCTCAAACATTAAAATAAATTCTTATTTATGTTTAACATATCTATGTGGTTTATATTTAGAGCCTTGATCAACATAATTGAATCCATAATACAAACTAAAACCGGAACTGCTGTTTTTTTAAGTCTTCAATTTCTTAAACCAACTGTTTTTTTATGAACTGCAGGCAATACTATTCACAGGAATTATTTACGTACTTAAACTAATCATAAAATAAAATACTTAAAATAAACATAGAAAGCTCAGATTCCCAAATGTTATAAACCTTTTTTACAAGTCACTAAAGCAGTAAATACGACTTAAAAATATTACTGTTAAAAATTGGTGATGCAAATATATTACTTAGGTGGGTAGTTTAGCAATTTGAACAATCAATATTAAAATGTAAATTAATATAGTAATTCAGACAAAATATTTTAAAACTTTCAGCAACAGATCGAAGATTATCACATGTTAAAAGTGAAGTTCTGACATTTGAAATCTTCATTTTGAACTGTCATTTCATAGATGTATAAAAAAAGCTGTCTCCACGTCACTGGGTGCAGAGAAGCATATCAGATCCAAGTTGTCAAGGCCAACAAGTGCTCAACCTGCATGGACTTCAAGAGGGAAAACTTGAGTGATTTTCCCAATGCCTTTAGTGGTTCCCTCCCTGAAACAAGAAATTGAGTTAAATTAGCTTTGTAACTCTTGGGAGAGATCATTAAAAAATTTAGTTGTATTAGTAACAGTCAAAGGTCAAATACTGTACATACTCTGTGGCCTTCCTGTACATACTCCTAGTTTATGCAACTTGGCTTACACAAACACAAAAAATTATTTATATTTTGGCGTCTATCTACACTAGCGGCACTATTTTAACACTTTTGGTAAGGGAATGGTTTAAGTCCATAAGACCTGGTTTAAAAGCAGTATTAATTTATAGCCTGATGACGAGTCAACAGCTGGGTCGAAAAAATAATCTTTCTCAGGATTGAATTGGCAATTTTAGTAAGTAATAATGATGGCATGATTGATTACCTGATGGAGGTGGCAGTATATGAATAGTCCTGGCCATATATATTTGGGTTCTTTTTACACATCACCGTACTGATACATAATGCACCTTTTATAGTGATTAGTTATGACCATCGATGTAGATAGTCTAACTGGAATCGGGGCCTGGCACGAGAATACAGCCACTGTTGTGTCCGTCACAGTGGCGGCAGACCGTTTTTTATTACCTGCTGCGCGTGATCTATTTAGACTAGCCTGTATACGTTGAGTGTGACCTGAAGGAAATCAAGGAACTATAATATATGAAAATTTGTACAAACCTGAAGAGCAGTCGCATGCCGACTCTGACATACTCTGGGTGTCTAAGGAAGCGGAAAAGTACACTGGCCTTCTCATTTGTTTGGATACCACCGGTAGCCATGATACCTTCAATCCTAGCAGTCTGACGGACGTTGCCGATGTGTACAGTCATCTGGAACCCAGGGTGGATGGCAGTGGAGTGGAACAGCACACACACTGTTGCCTACACAAACGCACACTAACACATGAGGAGGAAGACACAAATGAAGCATTGGGAGTGGAAAATGAGAGAAAAATATACTGTGACTCTATGGGTTTACATTCTCCTCTAGGGACTTATACACAGTAAACAAGATATAAATCCCTTTCTTATAAACATGTACCAAAGGCACTGCTTCTCCTTTGGTAGATAGTTTATTTAAGTAATAATAGACTTAAAATAACTTTTGCAAAATTGATTTAACTCACAATATTACCATAAGACATTATTTTAATGATCACGTACAACAATTTGACTATCAATTTCAGTTTACTTTTAGATTAAGATCATTCAAGTGTCAAACGAAATTGTATTTTTATTTGAGTTTCATGTTATAATCCTATACTCTAATACACGAACACTAGAAAATACTGGTATGAATCATAAACATAAACAAATTACGTTTTTGGCCCGAAAGTAAACAAAATCCCTATATTAATATTAGCATTAATTAACGTATGGTTTTGTTTTGTTTACTTTCGGGCCAAAAACGTCATTTGTTTATGTTTATGATCCATACCGGGTCTTTTCTAGTATTCGTGCTCTAATACGAGCAATGTCTGTTTGCCTGTCTGTCTGTAATATATATCTCGAAATCAAAATCCATCAGAAGGATTTTGACTAAATTTTGGAATCAGGAACTTATAGCCCTGAACCGTGATTGGGTACAGCCACTACCTCAGAAAAATTTGTATATAGCTACACAACTCATTTAAAAATAAAAAAAATTAACATTAACATTGGCCTTATGGGTTGCCAGGTAATGTTAGTAATAACAAGAATAAAGTAAAAAAAAAGGCTTTTGTCATGTGTTTATAAAAGCCATCCACAGCATTATTTGTGGACCAGTATCGCAGGGAACTGTGAATGTTTCTGACAAATTAATTTGGTAACTAAAAGTCTTAGCGCTGGATGTATAGTTTTAGATCGGAAAACTACAGGAACAGAAATAAATTTGATCATATAATTATAATTATAACAATATTCCAAGTAAATTAAATACATCTAGGGGTTTAAATCGGCATACAACTATTACCGTATGCTAAATCCCAATGAAAAAACAGACAGAATCTCAATTTCTTCAGAAGTAGTAGTGCAAAAGAAAAAATCGTTGCCACAAGCCATTCTAAACTAATATGATTTTGTTCGTATCATATCTTTATCTGCTGTCATTGGAGAGTGTAAGAGTCAAACAACGTGTTTCAATGACTAGAGGGGAGAAACATTCGGTGCGAGTAGCTTAGTCAAGATCATAAAGTGTATCTTATTTTTGTTTAAAATTGCATACTTTTACAGAGTTGTTATTATTTCAGCGATCAAAGTTCTATGGTTTGTAATAAAATGTTTTTCGTAAATTATAAAATGTGTTTGTTTACAAGATTGTTTTAACAATGAAACCCAAACAACCAATTAACCAAGCAAGGCTCGGCCCCCCAGTACTCTTACCTAATTTGTGTAAGGGCTGTTAGTTAAATTTCAACAAAATCTTGCAGATCATTCTGTTATTTGAGTCATCCACTTGTGATGATCATGACTTATATGTACATTTTAGTTTTAATAAGAATATGGAAACTATTAGTTATCATATTTCAAAGGAAAGCCAATTGACTAGTGAGAATATCTCAAAATCCTAAATAATACCTGGAAGAACAGACAACCAGTAGGACACTGGTCGGTACTGATTAGCACCATCCCAGCACGCAGTGCCACTGGTGCACAGTCCAGGCCTAGGGAAGCACTCTGGCTGGCGCGCACTGTGCGACATGGAGCCTTGTTGCGATGTATGGACTGCACCTCCACCGGCACAAACTCCCCAGAGTCCAACGGCCCTGTGCAACATTTAAACACTTTAGAGTAAAATTAATGGAATGAATGAGAGAATAATTTATTCTGAAAGTAATGCAGTGGAGATTAAAAGTAGTGGTAGGATTTTTTGTTATTTCCTTTCATTCTTGTTTAAATTATTTGATCCAATCCATTTTCTAAATAAAAGATGTGTTATTATGCATTCATCATATAGATACAAAATCAGCAGCATGTATATTTAATTGGACAAAATAGCTAAATAAAAAATCTTATACTCTAATATGAGCAAAGTATGTTATACTGTACTGTTATACTGTTCTATGAAATGGCGACCATACATAGTAGGTATTTTAAGCCAAGTATGAATGGGGATGAGTGTAGGATGAGTGGCGCGATCTTGTAGTCTTGTTAGTGACTAAGGCTGACATTCCTTAGACACAGCTGTTAATTAATAGCCCATACAGCTAATGGCAACTAAGGGACCTACAGTTTATAGTGGAATCCGAACCACATTTTTGCCTTGGTAATTACGAATTGGTCTAATTATCAGGATAGTACTGCGGATAGTAGTAGTACTCACCCGTGCGGACGTTAATCCACACTGGGGAGTATCGCATCCACAGTGCATGCCTATAAATATCCACAATTCGTGACCTCCTAGTAGCTGGATTACAGGACGACGCCACCCGTCCCAGTCATGTTTGTCTGTCTGTATGTCTGTCTGTAATATATATATCGAAATCCAGAGGAAGACTAAATTTTGGAATTAGGGACTTGTAGCATTAAAAACGTGATTGACAACAGCCACTACCTCAAGAAAATTTGTATTTTACTACACAACTTAATTGAAAATTTTAAAATTTAACATTGGCCTTTTGGATTGCCATTGCCAAGTAACAAAACAACAAAATAACAAACATGTACAAAAATGAACAAAATAACAAGTAAAAAATGTGAGTTTCCTTTATATTGCTTTTACAATCAAAATAAACTATACCGTGCCATGGCCGCCCTTGGCTCTGTCCCCCGGTACTAATATTCAAATGATATCTATCCATCTATCTATATCCCTTAGAGTGCCAGGCGAGAAATAAAAGTAACGCTCAAAAAATGCCGATGATTTTTCCCGAAGGTCGCGCTAAAAATGCCGAGCGCGATCTGGCGATTTTTAGGTTAAAATTTCGTAAAAATCGAATTTTCGATATTTCGACCAACGAAAATCGATGTATCGCATCTAGTAACTTTCGACTCAATGTTAATATATGGGTTAAAAGAATCCGAGTATCCATTCGGTTGTTATGACAACTGTTTGATCATTACGAAACGTCCGGTCAGCCGGACGTTGGCACTTTTGGCTCGTTCTAAAAACGTCCGGTCGGCCGGACGTCGGCACTTTTGACTCGTTTTAAAAACGTCCGGTTCCCCGGACGTTGGCACTCAAAGGGTTAAATATAATACGTGAAGCCGTTTTTTGTTAACACTACCCTTCCCTTATTTGTAGACCAATTTCGACATTTGAGGTGTCAAAAGATTTTTTTCAATTTTTAGTTTTGCAATACGGTTTTAGAATTTAAAAATTCTTACCCTTAAGGGCACAAGGCGTTCTCGAAGGTCGATTTTCCCCCATAAGAATTACACAGAAAAAAACAGCTTTTTATTAAAAGAAACGCATAGCTTTTATGGGAGCAAATATTGATGTTTGCAATAATCAGTAGGTTACAGACCAATGTAAACAGTTTATCAGTGTTGTTGGGAGAACAGAAAATGCCTTGAGTTCAAAGAAGAAAAATTGAAAATAGGAGGAGACAATTATTAATAAGAGATATTATGCGTATGAGAAGAGTAGAAGAAGATATGCCTGGTCTAACAGTAAGGAATCCAGATAGACACTAACTTGGAGAGGTAGAGATGGATAATATCTTTGCCAGTTCTGCTATACAACTTACTTTGAAATGGGAAAAACACACTAAGAGTATACATAAAATTATAATATATGAAGTACGTTCGGAAAGTAAGTTCCGATTCCCATACTCTCCGGGGTAGTGCTGCGATGGCAGTTTAGCGCATGCGCAGTAGTTACTCTGTATCAACCGGAAGAAAATTGTTTACTCACTATTGTTGTCATACACTTTGTGGCGGTTGTTTGTAATGGCTGTGATAATTGAGAACCCCGCCGATTGTGAAATTTGATCGGTGATTCGTTTTGTTAATGCAAGAAACTTTAAAGCAATTGACATTCACCGACAAATCTGTGAGGTTTATGGGGACAATGTAATGGGCGATTCAATAGTTTGAGAAGATGGGTTCGACAGTTCAAAGAAGGGGGAGATACAGTACATGATGAGGAAAGAAGTGGACGTCCATCTGTGGTAAACGATGATCTGATTAGTGCAGTCAATGAGGAAATTAAAGAAAACCATAAGTTTACGATAAGTGCTTTTACACGTGAATCGTTACAGAAAAACTTGACTTTCGTAAACTTTGGGCACGTTCGGTGCCTAACACCCTTTCTCAACGGGACGAAAACCACTGACGGGCAGGCACTCAAGGGCAGTGCACTTGATTTCTTGACTCGTCATGACGAGAATGGCGATACATTTTTATTGTAGATAATCAGGGGAGACGAAACTTGGGCTGCTTATGATACCCCTGAAACCTAGCGTCAATCAATGGAATGGAGGCACACTACGTCCCTGGCAAAAATCAAACCCAAGCAAATCTTGACACCTCGAAAAGTCATGCGCGTTCTCTGGGACATAAAAGGCATTTTGCCGCAAGGCCAAACAATCAATAAGGATGTTTATTGCAATCAGGGAACCGCGCCGCGCAATACAGAATAAGCGCCGAGGAATGTTCACGAAAGGAGTGGTTTTGATTCATGACAATGCTCGACCACACACTGCAAATGTGACGAAGACACTTTTTCAGGGCTTTGGCTGGGACTTTTTTTACCATCCTCCATACAGCCCTTACCTCGCTCCAAGCAATTTTCATTTGTTTCACAATCTGAAGTCTTTTCTTGGTGGTCAGCGGTTAATCTGCGATGAAGAGCTGAAAGAATGTGTTAACTCATGGTTAACTACACAGGAGGTTATACTCAAACTTGTACCACGCGATTACAAATACCTCAAAAATTGAGTTATGTTAAAAATTTTGTAAGAGTTGTAGATTTTTTTAAATAAATTCATTTCCTGTATCTGTACTTGTTATTATTTTATTTCAAAACGGAACTTACTTTCCGAATTTATCTTGTATAAGATAAAATAAATAAATATATTATACAAAATAATATTTATTATAAATATTTAAATCATACTGGCCTTTTTATGACAAATCTGATATTTGACAATGTATTACCGGTACCACAGTTCCTTTTCATAAAGTGGACAACACAATCTTTAAACCTAATAGAACACCATAAACCAAACAGTTTCCTCCTTTGTTTATACAGACTCAGCTTACCTAATACCAGTTTGGTGCCTTCATTGACAGTCCCTTTTGTCAGTAGTCCACCGACGACAGGTCCAATATCAGGCACTCTGAAACACTCATCTATCTGGAACTCACAAGGCTCCTGTAAACAAACACAAGGGGTAATGTAAAGACCAGTGATTGCATTAAGGTTAAACTTAAAATAATGTAGAGATGTGTGAGCAGCTCAATTTTCAAACAGGCCAAATCTAGCCGAAAAGATAGAGTAATCGAGCATGTCAGGAAATTGAGCTTGATCCAAGCTTTTACAATCATAATGATACACCGCCTTCACATCAGCAGATACAGTAAAGAGTTGATTACCTCAAACACTAGTGAGCATAACTTGCCGTCTCGTTGACACTGCTGATTGTCTCCCTCAATCGCAGCAGCTTACGTGAGCATATCTTAGTCTCGGCGACAGCAGTGATCATCTGTTGCGATTGAAGTTGATGATATATGACCTTTATGTAATCGCGAGAAATTAAAATTATATACACACAACCGCAAAAAAGGTCCAGATCGTAGAAGGTGATGATAATGTTTTTGAGAATGTGGGAGATGTACAGGATTTTGCATAAGATGATCAGGATATTACCGCAATCTCAGAGGACGATGATATGTTTCCAAGATCTTAGCAGATCACGTTGTTGCCACCATCGTCAGAGATGATGATGGTGATGTAAATTACAATATATAGTATAAGCCCTTACCAGCATCAGATGATGGGCGGGCAGACTCTTTCAATAATTCACCATTGGTCCAAAAGTCTGAAAGTATTTTATCCGGTAGACGTCGGTAGTGATCGTTAAGATGTCAATAGCAACTGTTCAGCTAACAGGAGCGTTCATTCAAACATTGGTTGGAGAATGGTTCAGACGTCGGTAACAATTGTTAAGATGTTGTTAGTGATTCAAAAGGTTGAGTTAAAAAATCGGCAGACCTTGGTTGAATTCTTTGTTAAGCTGCATTTCCGGTAGTCTCGTAACAGTGTTGGGTTTTAGAAGTCGTTCAGTATTCCGGCAATTTAAATAATCTGGCAAAGCCAAAATTTTGAACATATAGGATTAGCGAGTACTTGGAAATCGCAACAGCTCAAGTGTTGGGGATACCCAGATTGAGCTGTTGAAAAGTCCTATTCTTCAGTTGAAACATAACAAACAAGAGTGAATTAACCATCGACTTAAGAGTGAAATAAAATTGTGCCAACCTGCTCGAGCCGCTCCTTCTCCTTGTGGCTGATGCCTGGAGGTAGCACATGCAGGAACCTAGTGAGCAACTCCAGCCCTTCCCCATTCACACTTGACACTAGGAACACAGGCACTATGTTGTCTGCCAGCTGATTGGACCCTGCTGTTATAGCATCATCCTCATTCTTCACTACAAATGGTACCTAAAAACACAGATTTCAATAAACTGGTGATTAAAATTATTTTCACTATGAATACACTGGAACTAAAATTTTACAGTGAAGTAATTCCACATGGGCAAAATAAAATTTTGGCTATTTAATCTTCTAAATATATAAAAGGCAAAGCCCTCACTGACTCACTCACTCACTCATCACTAATTCTCCCACTTCCCATTTACCTAGGAGGCTGAAATTCGGTACACCGATTCTTTAGGCATTAAATAGGAAAACTAAGTAGTTTTTATTCTGATCGGGCTTTCGGGCTCTGCCCCAGTGGCTCTGGAGTTTCCCATGTTAACCTTATGGTTTTCCATATTTAAAAGGAATTAATGAATCTTAACAGCTGTTTCAATTAAACAAGTTGGTTCTGTTCTATGATGTTCAATAGCATTAAAGTTACAAGGATTACCAACAGGGTGCAGCACTATTATTATTTTTTAATTTATGACAACAGCTAATTTGCAACCAAAAGGTGAGTGAGCGTAGCGAACAAACTTCATCCTGGAGGCGAGTTAGCGTAGCGAACGAGCTCCAACCTAAAGGTGAGTGAGCGTAGCGAATGAACTTCAACCAGGACGTGATTGAGCCATGCGAACGAGCTCAATAGTTTTATTAATACTTATGAAGTTAAACGGGGCAAAGCCCGTGGGTACAGCTAGTATCATATAAATAAGTAGGGTAAGTAATAAAAAAACAACAAACTGAGATAGAGAATATAAGGTCATTGGTTTATTTTGATTCTCAATAAAGGATTTATGAAAACTGGATGTAGGCTATAGCAAATCATATGGTTTGCTTTGGTAATATAGATCAAAGATTATAATTTAGATTAAAAGGTTTTTATAAAACGTTCACGACTCTCTAGAGTAGAATCAATGCCAATTAAGTTTTATCACTGAATAAGACCAACTGTTGATCTTTAGTCAGAATAATGTAATGCTTAATGAACAAGGACAGCTGGGTCCAGCTTCATACAGGAGCAAATGAGAGTGGTGATCCCTAGTTCAAGCTCAAGTCTTACAGTTGATTATACATAAGACATGCAAATTACCCTGCGACATCCTGGACTCTGGAGGATAGTCTTGAGACAGTTGAGTGTCTCCTGGGGAGAGCCTAGGTCAGTCTTTGTAATGGTGACAAAGAGAGGAACATCTAGCGCGATGGCCAGGGCAAGGTGTTCTCTGGTCATTCCAAGCACTCCTGCACGCCCACTGACCACCAGCATTACATAGTGGGGAGAGTACCCCGTCAGACCCTGCACTGTCGTCCTCAGGTACTTGCGATGGCCGGCCAAGTCCATGAACGTCACAAGCTTTGTTGAGTTTTCACAAATTTCTTCTGCAGTTACCAGCTCACTGTAATTCATCACTTCCCCCTAGATAGAATACAAGCATAAATGTCATTCAATAGTTCAATACAAACGTCTAAATTTATGTAAGCTTAAACTTCAGAAAAAAATTAGTTTTGGGGAGAATGAACAGAAAGAGAAAAGTATAGATTTAAATAGCTAAGTTTATTGACTATTTTACCTGAGAATTGAAGCCTAATATCTCGTGGGAGATAGAGGAGGTGCGGCCGGACTGGACCTCGTGTAGATGTCTGAACATGTTTAGTCTTGCACGACCTCGTCCATTGTCCAGTTGTCCCTGTGTGAGGACTCCTAAAAGAGTAGACTTGCCAGCATCTGCACTTCCCATCACAGCTACCCTCACCTCTATGTTGTGTTGATCATCAGGCACCTGTTAAACAATTCAGTCATTGTGGAGTCAGTCACAACTAAATTTGTGAACATGTTTATAGTCTTGCACGACCTCGCCCATTGTTCAGTTGTTGTCCCTGTGTGAGTACTTGTAAAAAAAGTGTAGATTTGTCAGCATCTGCATTTCCCATCACAGCCACTTCTTGTGTAGTAAGAAGAATGTGAGCAAGAGATGATCACAGGTTTTGCCACCAGCGGGATGGATAAACCACACACATTTCTACGAAGACAAGGGATGATGTCACAGTGTTGCTGTGATTTTGCGAAACGATCAAAATGTTACTGTTATCGAAGGGGCGTTATTTTACTCCCTTATTAAATAAGGGTCATGGATAGTCATAAAAGTGTTCCTTTGTATTGTAGTTTAGACAAATTATGCAAAAATTACTTTAACAGCTTTAAAATCATATATCCCTGGCTAGTTTAAAGGTAATATATATTTAGGTTTTACAGCATTGCCCAAGTGGATCATGGAAACAAAAACGGATCTTGTACTATGACACTTGGTAACATTTATGCTTGACGCAATGATTTGAGGAGTCATGAAATATTGAGAGTGAATGTATGTAGCTGTAGAGGTAAACCTACCTTGCGTACAAGGACCTCCGCCACCTGTCTGCCCGGGTCCACCGCCCTCTCCCTCAGAATAGTGGTTGTAGCTCCCAGTCTACGAGCCATCAACTCCAGAGTCTCCAGACTGTCTGTCATCTCCTCCTCAGACAATCCTGTCAGCAGCCCACTGTCCTCCACTCCAATCTCATAGATAGCTTCCCCATGACCCTCTCTCAGCCGCCACTTCAACTGTAACCAAATGTCTGTCAGTTTAAATTTTGGAAGAACCGAATTGTTAATCAAACAATTTAAAAATTTGGATGATTATCTTACTGTTTGGTCAGGATAGTTATATACAAGTGCTATCTCATTTTTCATAGAAGTAAATATTTGCTACTATGCTTAATTTAATGCAGTGTGAATAACATGCTTGGGTATGCAAGTGGTTATAGTGCTTGCCTTAAAATCTAATGGTTGTTGTTTTGGTCCCAAGTAGGGTTGATGCTCGGCCTAGATACTTTTTGTAACTGTCTATCAGAATCTAAGGTCTAACAAAAAGTGTTAAAAGTACTAATGGCGTAAAAACACACTCATAGCACACAACAAATATATTTTTAAAACTCTGAACAAATTTTAAAATGGTACTATTTATTGGATATGTAATGAATATGAGATGGGGACCCTAATAAAAGTACTTTATGTGTAAGTCAGTGGTGAAGTGGGTTTTGAGCGTATGAGTGATGTACCTGAGTGACAAGATGTTCAAATCTGAGCTTAGAAGGGTTGACCAGTTTCAGCTTGTACTCAACATTGCCCAGCTGAGGCTCTGGAGGCAACTGGCTCTCCTCACCCGGGTCAAACAGACCCAGGAAAGAATCCATCTGTAACAAACATTAGTGTTACAAAACACTTTACCTCAGATATGCCGTACTCAAAGATTTATAAAACTATCATCTGAAGGTATTCACGGTAGTAGTTGACATTCCAGGACACAGAGTCCGCCCCTTCCAACCAATAAATCATCAATCCAGGAAGTCACATTTATTTTACCAATTTCATATTATGATAGGACAAGTACAAATCCCTAAGGGAACCTTTCGTAATGAAGTTAATATATTTCTAGGAAATAAATACAGATGTTCCATGTTTATTTAAGACTCTTCTCCTCTCAGGCAAGTTAATTTCATGAAATATTTATCATATTTTGACAGCATATGCTACAATATCAGAGTAGTTTTGTCTAAGCTAAATCAAGCAAACTTTTGAGATAATTTTACGACAAAATGTTTCTTTATAAGATACTTTCTTAACTGTTTTCATAATAATTTTGTCAACCCTTAGTTAAATGTTTTCTAATGGTAATTTAAAATATATAAACTGTATGAGTTCAACCAAATATTAAAATCTAAAACATAAATTTTACAAAAAAGGCCTTTATGGAATGAAAATATGAAACATATGGAACAGTTCCAATACAATCTATTCAATTAAATTCTGGAATCAAGCAGTACACTACCTGAGTTGTTTTCTAAGACTGTTGAGACTATTATCACAATATTTCAAACATAGTAGTTTAATGTAAACAAAACAAAGGCACACCAGTGTAGTAGTAATTGAAGGTGTGCTCAACAGCTGTTGACTGTTAACTATGCCAGGAACTGACACTGGTGGCCATGACAGGCTAGTGAAAGTGATCAGCTGATCAGTGCCCTACTTTCACAGGATACTCCACACTGTGACTGTGACTGCAATCTTACAACATCTGTCAGTAGTACTTTATAGTGACAAATAGATCAGCGTCTAGTTTGTCTTATTCAGATAGACACGTCAAAAGTTTGCAGAGAAAAATAAAAATCTAAAATAGTAAACCCTTTTTTATACGGTAATGACATGTATTTTAATACATTTGACCCCGAAATTAAGTGATTAAATGGGATACCACCAAACCAAATTTAAGGATTTTTTTATTATTTATATTGTGCATGTAACATATCATGTGCAGCATACAAGTCATACACACCCGTAGAAAAATCACAAGACTCTCAATATTTAGTTTATAATTTATCCATATATTTAAAGCCCAAAGTACCCATGAACTTTTGAGAAAACTACAAGGCACACCCCCATAAACCATATACCGTACGTAAAATGTCCGTCATGATGAGAAATCTTGCGCAAAACTATCCATTATTTCATAAATTGCCCTTTAAGGTAGTAATTGCTTTCTAAAGGGAACTTTTCATATACCTAATGTTAAAAATGCCTCAGCAGTACTTATATAATTTGTGTGTTATTCTTTCAATTTATTAGGGCCTACCTTATTAAAATCAGATGTGATTATTTGTTTGTATTACTGTATTCTGTTTTGTGTATTTCAGCTTATCTCAACCAATCAATAGTTTTATTAATATGAAGTCAAACGGGGTGAAGCCCTGGGTAACAGCATAGATAAAACATACTCGTAACAGCTAGTTTGTATTAAATAAAATTTTAGATGCGAATTCCATCCGATAAGTCACAGAAGTAAAAGTGTCTTGATTAAAACTGTGATCAGTGGAAAATTAATTAAATTCCTGCCAATGACAATTTTGTAAATGTCACCAATAAAAAAAATTGTTTTATAATTATTTTCAACAATTTTATCATGTTTACTTTTTAGTTCAGTAAAGTAAAAAGTGTTTAAAAATCAAATTTTTTGTTTGATTTGAATTACACTTTTTTACTTTTTACTAGGTATTTTAAAACATTTAAAAAAAAAACCTTACCAATACAGGAATGAATTATTTAGAAAGTTTGACAACCTGTATTTTAATTTTCTACTTAATTGATGTTTGAAAGTCCATTTGATAGCCTTGGCTTAGTATAGCCATGAAGCCAACTCATGTATGAAGATAAAATTATGTATGCAGTTGAAACACGTTGTGAAGATAAGAAGAATACTGTTGTGTCAGAGTGTGGCCCACTAAACAGCTGACTACACAGTAGTAACCTTGGCAGTGCCTGGCGTACATTGGGAGCAACGATCTCTTAACTAACCAACCAATGAACCTGATAATAAATATGCTAGAGAACAATGTCATAATTGTCTAGGGATCAAGTGGAAGAAGTATATAAATAAGTACCAAGTCTCACTGACTCAGCGGCATATCCAGGGGAAGGTAGGGGTTTGAACCCACCCCCCTTGACCTGAAAACGTGATTTATTTTTACAGTTAAAATTGTTTTTCTACGTACAGTTAAAAAATTTCCGGACCCCCCCCTTCCATGGGTATCCCATTAACCCCCAGGCCCCGGTGTAACACCCCTCTTAGAGTCATCCTAGTTACGTCTATGCACTGACTATATTTTAAACCTAATAGTTGTTTTAACTAAAAAAACCATCAATTGGAAAATTACAACAATTATTTATCTGGAAACATCATTATTGTTGTAAGAAAACCGCAGATGGGAGATAATTAAAAAGGTAAAATCATAACACCACTGGAGTAAAGCTGCATATTAAGCGCATTTCCATTTGTCTGATATGATTAACACCAAAATATTTCCTTAACAATGTCAGATTTATTCCCTTATTAAATAACACGAGGTGTTAGCCCGTCCTACGTACGGGAATTCAGTAGTCAGTTAAAACCGTGTACAATTCAGATCAGCTAGTTTACACAAATACAAAGTTTCTTGCAGTTTTAATAAGAAAAATCATCTTGTAAACAAATGTTGTGTGGCCAAATATGTTTTTATTCCATCATAGGCCTATACGATATGCATTTTAAATCCGATAATTTTACAATAAAACAGCAATTCTGCAATTTTACGATGTGAAAACAGTTGAAGAGAGATTTGCAGCCGATTCGCACTGACGCACACTGATTATAAGTAGCCTACAGTAGAGAGAGTAGTAATAGTCATTTGAGAAGTGTATAGACCTAGTCAACGATACCACCTTCCATAGCATACCTGCCTCTTCCATAATTAATTATTACCACCACAATACAACTACTATACACAATTTCCAGTAGGTCTGAAAAGAAAGGGACCGCGTCTCGTTGTCCCTCCGTCTCGTTGTCCCTCCGTCTACTTGTACCTCGAGGCCTAGGGACAACTAGTCGTAGGTACAACTAGACGGAGGGACAAGTAGACGGTGGCTCACCCGACTAGTTGTACCTGCAGATTTTTAGGAGGTACAACTAGACGTAGGTACAAGTAGACGTAGGTACAACTAGACGTGTATCCCACCGACAAGTAGTATCACCTAGCTTGTACGGATGCGACCAGTTGTCCCTACGACTAGTAGTCCCTACGACTAGTAGTCTCTACGACTAGTGGTCCCTCCGTCTAGTAGTCCCTACGTCTAGTTGTACCTACGCGTATTTTGCGTCCTTATAGTCTAGTTGTATCTATCCTTCAATTCGTTACCCTGTTTAATTGATTACTGCACGAGTACTTTTTAATAATACCCTTAATTAAATCAGGAACTGCAGTGTTCCGAGTCGATTGAGTATGATTGGCAAATATTTTTCACCGCAATACGTTGTTTTAGTAGTTTTACAGACGTTAATTGGAGGCTGAAAGCTACGCATTGCTGTCCAGGGTCGAAATGGCAGCTATAGTTGTGATTAAAATTTCCCAGCCCTAGTACCGAAAATCGCTTATTTAATTAAAACATTTATATATATCATTAAATATACAAGCAGTATATCCCTAATGAATTGCAATAGACCGCTGCCCAGCAATTATGTATTACTATTTTTGCTGATTCCTTTAAATATTTTTTCACATAACCTTAAAGTATTTGCATTGATTAGTGTGCATATCTTATAGTTTACAATGGATTTCCTAGTGATCAATGAACAATGAAGTGTACAATGAAGTTGAGGTCCAGCGGTTGAAAACTCGACAAAAACTATGCAATGTACTACACATACTTCTCCATTTAAAATACACTGTAAATAATAAATGTGATTGGAATATGTTCCATTTGTTTTGATTTTATTTTCATAATTAGTTGTCATTTCGTCACCAGCATAGCAACCCGTTAAACCCATGTTAGTTTTAAACATTTGTAATTCTTTTTTTATGTCTTTTTAGCCTATTTTAATTTATAAAGGCATTCTGTAGATCGACAGGAAAATACATTTCCTAGGATATGCGGATATTTTCTGTGTGATGTTCACGAGCTGATAAAAAGGTTGTAAAGAAACATGCTTGCCTACATTATTGATATATTTTCTCAGTTTTGTATAGTTTGGTGAAAAACAGCAATCGTACCACGGACCGATTTCATCTTCGACTCGAACTTAAAAATGATCCCGAGCTGAAAAAAAGTCATTTTCGGCCCTAGGTACGAAATATACTCTTAAACTATCGTAGGATCGGTGAATACTAAACTCTATCTTGGAATTGCATACACTCGCTCCTATCTTTAAGTTTACGTTGTTGCCATACAATAAATGTATAAATAAACACAAAAATTCACAAGTTTTGTTGTAAGTACCTATATCATGTATGAATAAAAACATACAATAGCATCATGTGTAAGTGTATTCTGTAAAACTTTAAACAAATATTAGTAAAATAGTTTTCAGGTAAACTATTGTTGAATGAATTAGTTTTAAGTTTTTAAATTAACCTCGACCCGTGCTATATTTTTAATGGAGTTTGTCCGGAAAAATACCATGGTAAAATTAAATCAAATAAATAAAATTCATAACAAAAGAATAATAGATACAGAATGAACGTAATTTCTGAAAATCGACAGACCTACATATGCGAAGCCTGTGCGTGGGGACCAAGTTGACTCAATAATTGGCAATTTGTCATAGTATTGTAACATAATTAACTACCACTACTATAATTATCAATACATTTTCAAAGGAGAAACAAAC